GATTATTGCTACTGTAATTGGTTGTTTTTCCAGTTACGGAACGTCTATGTATTTAATGAAGAATATTGAAAATCTTTGTGGGACAAACAATGTAGCCTGGAGTTGTCCAGACATACGTACGTCGTTTCAGCTTCGCTTATTTGGGGTGTTGTTGGCCCATCTCGAATGTTTCTTCATAATGACCTTTCGTACAATAATCTGTTATAGTTTTTTCCAATTGGTGCAGCCTTACCGATAATTCAATGGTTACTAAATGAAAAAATTCCGCCAAACCGTATGGTTGCGTTACATTCATATACCTGTGATGTTGGTTGGTGTCTTAAACTTTATTCCGGCACCAGCAGGTAATTTTCCAACGTGGCTTTTTGTTGGATTTATATTTAATTTTATTATCCGTCGTTATACACACAGATGGTGGGAACGTTATGCTTATGTATTATCATCTGCTCTAGTTTGCGGTGTGCATTTAGTGCTCTGGTTATCTTTATAGCATTACAAAATCAAAATATTTCATTTCCGTCCTGGTGGGGAATCGGTGGTGCTTACCAATATGGTTGTCCATTGTCGCACGCGAATTTTAATGGTTCTATTCCGAAATAACTGGAAGTTTTTAAAGCGATATTATATGCGAATTAGTGCAGCTAGTCACAATTTATTGAACGAACGTTGACGAGTGCTTACTGCACAGAAAGCTATTCAAACTAGTGATAAGAAAGTATCTGCATACTATATAATCAACTGAATTATGTCTTATGTTCGCATGTTTTCACATCTAGCAACTGATTAAAGACGCTTCTTCCATTCAGTATCAGTTAAGAACAGTAGTTCTGAAAATATCTGTTTTTTATGGGATATATACTATTGATAGCTGTCGAAAAGGCGCGAATGTGCTAATAATTTATTATTAATCTCGCTATACTAGAGGAGGAGGGGCACTTTACCTTTAGTTTAGTTTTAATAATGCAGTCTAAATATGATTTGCATGTGTGTAACTCAGTTAGCTGTTGCACCTCGGTTTTGTCTTATTCAGTTAAGTTCGCATGATAGATAAAACTTATCCATTTCTGTAACAGTAACAGTTAATAAGTTAAGCAAAAATTGATTTTATGAAAGGTAGGTTCGCCGGGGAGAGAATCAAGAAATCGATTGTTAATAATTGTCTAAATCTCCACTCGATAACGATATCATATTTTAATGGTATGTAATATGAAATTCAGACAATGGACATCCGCCTTGTGACAGATCACGTTCGATCTTTTTTAATGAAGATCTTATGTTCCCGTAGATGACGTACCATTGTCAATTCGTCAGATATAATTTAGCTCAGTGATGTTAAGACTGTAGGACGATTTAGCGTTTGTAATTTGTACAACAGACTTGCATACAACACATTAAAACGATTAATACTGGTCTGTTGGAGCTAAACTTAAAATTTTAAGTGTAAATTTTAAGGATTTTAATTTTGGCTACAAAGTATCTATCCGATGTGAACTTGTTGATATAGATTAACAAAACGATTCTAAACGTTAAAAGTTTGACGAACATGAACATGTTTGCTGTTCGTCAATGTTCAGATCACTAATAACGAGGACGTAATCAATTATAGTAATCAACGAGCACAGTAAGACAGAATGGATAAAGCATCTTAATTGTTTTGTTCGTTACTCGATCTTCTACTGATGACGTTTTAGCCTTTATTGTACGTGTTAACTTATGCAACTGTGACTATAAAAAATGGAATTGATAATTCTTATGATCGCTGATCGGTATATAGCAGCAGTCATCGAAATTATCAACATAAATATTGTGCATTTTAATTATATCTGAAGTATGTATGCTGTAGTAATTTTATACACTATATTTACTTATTTATTATCTACTGCTCTTCTTATTGTATTTTTAGCTCTTATTCATTCTATTTGAGATTCTTGTGAGGGTGAGGGAATCTTTAGGTTCATTGGAATGCTTGAGCTGTTTGAGATCTAGTTTTTAGTGGTTTTCTATTGCGGAAAGTGAAATATGGAAGTATCATTTACTGCGGCATCACTAATAGAGACTTATCTCATCTAAATTCTCACCAGTGCTATACTGCCTTAGAAAACACCTCGTGAAAAGTGACATGATCCAATCTTCGATGAAAAGGAAATTATCAAACAGTTCCCATTTACATTTGGATAATTGACTATCCAGAATCGAATTTTGTTCTTGTGGTGCACGCTCTTATTTGTATTGTACCATTCATAATCCTCATCTCAAAATCGAAAAATGTGGTTCATTGATTGCTTCCATTTTCTCAGTATAGTTTTTGTTAGGGTGTTGATGCTGACTAAATTTCATATCGAGTTTGATTGCAATTAGATCGTCAAAGTATCTGATGTCGTTTATTGTACGCATATCTAAGAACATCAACAAGTAGATGACATGGGATCTATCCGTTCTGAAAGTTTTATGTTAAATCGTCAAGTATCGGACAAAATATGAAGTTTTCTACTATTGCTGTTTCTTAGTAGAAAATGCCATTTTCTGGAAATAATGGATGACGCATAAAAAATGTCCCGCTTTATATTTTACTAATAACTCTATTCGGTTTCTTCCATTTGAGGTCAAGAAACAGAGAAACGTGACATTTTACACGCACAAGAAATAAAACATATGTATATATAATAGAATTGATTTGATAGTTTTGTAAAAATATATTTTAATGAAAAATGAAAGGAATAATAAAGAACAGTTAAAAAACAAAAAATAAAAGAGATATATTGCATCTTTACCTTGAAACGTATGATGACTATGTTTTTTCGTCTATCACACGTACTGTAAGTATAGCCTTGTCTGCTAGAGTGTGGTTCTTTCTCTTCGCCTTTCTTTTGTCATCTCATAATGGTACAAGAGAAGAAAGCAGAAAGGAAGAATATAAACAGACAGAAAGAACACATAGTCATCAAAACAAGAGACACAAGTCAATTGCATGAGTCAATTGCAACTTTTTTGTACAATTGATAAAAGGAAATGAAAGGGATCCTATTGAAAATCTAAAAGGTGCATTTTGTTGCCCATCATTCGCTGAGTCTGTGGTAAAAATTTCCCGGCTACCACACCTCACGAAGCTGAGATAAACGAGACGCAGAGTTACAACTACTCTTCTAAGGAGTTTATCCTAAGCAATATATCGAAATCGGATATATTGCTCAAAGAAACACTTCAAAAAGAGTTTCATGAAGTTTGTGAGAAGTCGAACGATATATAATAGTAGCAATTTCATTCGAAAAAAGCTCGAAAATTCGTAAGAAAAACTGGCCTTACATTTCGAGGTATAATGTAAAAATTTCTGACAAAGTCTGGAACTTTAATGAAACTGCTATGTTTGTTCAGTTTTGCGAGCTGCATCTTTTCTATGAAACTTTCCCAGCAGTACATTCAGTTGCTTGAGCCTGAAAAGTGAATTAACTTTGAAAAACTGGCCTTACACTTAGCGTGTAAACGTGAGTTTTTCAAATTTTTGTTCAATTTCAAGTTTCGCAAAACAAGCGATGATTAGCAGGTTTTGTAGTATTTTTTAAGCTCTATCTTGTGACCGGCTTGATTTTTCGAAAATCGCTTCTGCGTGCTCTCTACAGACGTCCTAAACTGGCCTTACACTTTGAGTGTAAAAGGACTTTGAACCTGAAGGGGCACTCAGAAGTAAATAAACTTAAAAGTGAATGGCGAAATCAGATAGAGAATTGAAAGCTCTACGAACCATACTATTTACTTTTTGGTATCGTTCTTTCTTTTCTTTAGAAAATCTATTTTTCGGTCGATGACTCATCGAAAAAAACGGGTATTTTTCGCTTCTGACCCACGCAACTCAGTTAGGTGACGGCATATTGTTATGAAATTTTTATGGTAGTGTTGCTAGGGTCTGGGATAGAGAATAAAAAAAGGTTTGAAAATCCATTCATAACAACGGTGTTAGTAGCAAAAATACTCCAAAAATGTCATTGTACAAAGAAGTTGCAATTGACACATATAAGCGAAATCTCTATTTATTTGTGTACAAATTCGATGTAAGGCATATCAACTTATCAAACGCATCGTTGATTCAAATACAGCCACTTTTTTCTCTTTCAAAACTCTGATATCTTATTAATAGTATATTGAAACACTCTTTTTCTATATTGTCGTTGGTAAAATATCAGATATGATGCTAGCTGCTAGACTACATGAAGTTGAAAAACAAGTGCAAATTGATACCATACCCGTTCCTAAAACCCGGCCCGGTACTGTTTTAATTCGTGTTGTTGGTTCTCATATGCCTACATTTACCAATTATGTTTTAACGGGTAAACCGCCCTATGTATTACCTCAACCATTTCCAAATGTTCCTGATGTAAATTCTGTTGGTATTATTGAAGAAATAGGTGAAAATGTTTTTGATTTGGAAAAAGATCAAATGGTTATGTTGAATCCTATCGTGCACGGATCACACGCACCTGATCCGAAATGGGACCACATACTTGTTGGATGGACTGCTTTGGCACAAGATTCATTAAGGACACAGAAAATCAAGGGCACACAGTCATTATTAGTGGTGCAACAGGTGAATTAGGTTCCGGACCCGTATTCGTAGCATTAGTTATGGGTGTATCGAAAGTCATCGCTGTTGGTCGAGACGAAAAGAAACTGGAGTTACTAAGTCAACTGGATGAAAAGCGAGTGATACCAGTTCATTTTACGGAAGAAAAAACAAAGAAGGGCAAAAATAAAGGATATTACTGAGGGTGGTGCTGATTTAATGGTTGATTTTATTGGTGGAACAAAGACTACTGATCAAGTCCTTAGTTGTATTCGTTCGTTAAGGCCTGGTGGTAAAGCAGTGTTGGGCGGTTTCATCGACAACAATCTATCTCTTTCATATGGTGAGATAATGTTTAATGAATGGGATATTCGAGGATGTTACTTGTTTCCTCCGGATACTTTTCGTATTCATTTAGCACATTTATTTTTGCTTTCTAAGTCTGTATGTTGAAAGATCTGTGTTTTGAACTGACGCATAGCAATGTTACGTTTATTAACGGGTAAAAATTTTAAAACTATAGAGATAATAACAGCAGCTGTTTTTAGTTCCATTATTTAACTTTTTATTAAAATTCGACATTTCGAAAATACAATTTCATTCTCAAGAAAAACAATAGATGAACAGACTATAGTGTAACAAGAGAGTCAAAAATATGACGCATAGCAATTTGAAATTTTTTTATTAGTCATATAGCCATGTCTTAGCGATGTTTGTTTTACTGAATTATTAAAAAGATCATTCTCAGAAATGAATTTCATTTTAAAAAGAAAGTTGCTTTTAAAAAGTTTTTGATTGCAAATAGTTAAGATGCCAGTATATTCAGAAAACATTTTACCACAAGTATCAAACGGTATTTGAAATTGAGAGAAACGTAGAATTGCTAGTATTTTATTTTGGGAGTTATTCTGAAGTTTATGACTACTCTCTGATATACCTACCGTTAAAAAACTATATATATATTGTGTCTCTCGTTTTGATGACTATGTGTTCTTTTCGTCTGTTTATATTCTTCCTTTCTGCTTTCTTCTCTTGTACCATTATGAGATGACAAAAGAACGGCGAAGAGAAAGAACTACACGCTAGCATACAAGGCTATACTTACAGTATATATGATAGACTTTTAAATAAGTGAATTCAAACAGGATTTTTTCATAAAAATAGTTGATTTAAATTGATTTTTGTATTAAGACAAAGAATAAATCAAAACCAGCGGCACATTTTGTTATTGCCGCAATGGGTGATGATATGAAACTTTATCGATCAATCTCGGCTAAAAATGAGTCGCGTTCTTCTAGTGTGCAGTTCTGACTCTTGTTGCAATCATGATTAATCGAAGAAAAATTTTATTATCGAACCATCGTGAATAAAAGCAAAGTCGCGATGCTAGCGTACAAAAACGCGATTGACGTCGTATAACCGATGTTCGGTAATTTCGGTTTCGGTTTAACTGAAAGATCGGTTAACCGAACACCGATGCATACCTATTCAGCGAATGATTATGCTGTAGACATGTGTGAAAGAGTAATAAAACGATGTACAACCAGCAAAAATACCTGTCGGTATGATCCTTTGAAATAACTGTTCAACTATTCTATGACCTACCTGATGGTTGTATAAGCGTGTATTGTATAGAAGCAGTCATAACCAAATCAAATTACTCACACAACAGTAACTTTTAGGAAAAACGTGCCTGAAAATCTAATACATTGAATTTCGGGCGATCATTAGGACTGGTACTATACTGTGCTTGTGGTAAATTCCAAACTAGACAGATTATATATCGGTAGTCGGCCATGCTAAGTCTGGTGCCAATCTTTACTTACAGAAAGAATTAAAATCTGGTGGAAACTGAGTTTTACAACAGTAATTGATTACCATCGTATTTACAAATCCTACTCAATATCGAATGATCTGACCGGTATTCCCTAATGATTTCACTCAAATCAAACTTGATTAGGGAAAAAGGGTTGTCTCAGGGCGCTCTTACTCGTGTAAAAATTAGGACTTATTTAAAAGGACGTTTTACATTATCAACGAAAAACTCGAACCGGAGGCAGAAACAAAACAAAGGTTAGAAAAATGAATCTTTTTATGATTTTTCTGAAATATCCTGGTCAGTAGACACATTGATTGCTTTCTTTTCGAGCACTTATCCTTCGTTTCTTGTTGTTAAGAATAATATTTGTTTAAAATGCTACTCAAACAATGAAATATTAATTGAGATGTAAAAAACGAATGTTGTTTATCTAACCTTTATTTATAATATTATTAAGTTGTGCTGTCTGAAAGCAGTAGTTTGTACTAGATGTGTGCATTAATGTGAAATCGTATAGAACAAGATGAATAGTATAGTGTCAACAAAAAAAGAAATGCGCATAAATTATATATATATTCCATTATTTATATAAGCTTTTGTCAGTTTCAAATATTTCTCATTCGTATATGTTGAATCGTCAGTTGAATGTTATTGGATTAGAAGCACACTCCGTTGCATCGTCTAAACCGCAGTTGTATTAAGCTTAAATCTTGATCTTACATGTCTATGTAAGTAAAATCACATTATTCAGCAAACAATGTTCAATATCGGTGCATCGTTGTTTTTTGAGTCATTCAAGAAGAGACCGATAACGTCCACGATATATCCATCCGTGACTGTGATCATCATCGGTTTTAGAATTGAACGATGCTTGTGTAAACAATAGGAACGTCTTTGGAATTCATTGTTCATCGATTTTTCAATTTTAAGATAGGTTCCTATACATGTGAATAAAGTAACGTCAAGCATAAAAAGTCGTAGACTATGAGACCTGTGAAAAATTTTACCGTCAGAAACTCAGTAAATTTGTGAAGCATCATTTGTTGATAATGTTTTTGCTAACTCAGTTGTATAATCTTAAATAACTTGATCGCTAGTGATATGTGCAAAACCGACATTGTAAGGGACGAATTGTTCTAAAAGTGCTGTTCGCACAGAATGTAAGGTTCTTGATACTGATTGTTTATTTCCATATGAAACATGGCTGATAACGCCGTGTAGCTTATTCTCAGACAATGTTTTAACAGAAATAAAGCGAGAGCCACACGTTTTAATCTTGCTTGTGTATTACGTAAATGTAGGGAAACATATGCGATAGTAAATCTTCGAATTGTTCTAAAAATAAAATTGCTACAATATTTAAGAACTTTGCAAAAAGTCAAAACGGCAAATACGTTAATAGTTAGAGTCTTTTATTTGCTAGTCTCCCACAGACTACGAAACGTATTTCAGGATTATTTTCCTTCTTTTAGCAGAGAAATTTATTAAAAACATTCCTCAAAATCTTGTTCTCGCTTTTGCAAAGCAAAATTTGGCATGTCAAGAAATACGAAAATGTTTTAGAAATCCTCAACGTTCGTCTCCTTGGATTGCTCTACATTGGTGCAAGACTGTGATTTGAGGTATTTTTATTTAGAAATTGTAGCCCTGTTGAAAAGCAGACTTTACCTCTGGTAATACCGACGATATTTTTATAATCCGTTTCTGATAATGATTCTAGATTATCGAAATCAAAACATTTTGTCTTTGACCATTATTTTCTATTTGTTATGAAAGTTAGCAACATTCGATCATACTGGTCTCAGAATAAGAAAAACAGTTTTTAAAAGATTATTACTCGTTTTCTTCCAAAACTTAAATTGATATTTTATATACCCTTATATTTCAGGGCATTTTCTGGCCAACCCGAAGAAAAAGCATTAACAACAGAAGAAGCTGTAAACACAGCTAAACATTCTGATTTTAATTCCTCTGAACGTGTTGTTATAAATGTGTCCGGTTTAAAATTTGAAACAAAATTACAAACATTAAATAATTTTCCTACAAGTTTATTGGGAAATCCTCAACGAAGAATAAGATATTTTGATCCGTTAAGAAACGAATATTTTTTTAATCGTAATCGTCCAAGTTTCGATTCTATTCTATATTATTATCAATCAAATGGTCGTTTAGCGAGACCGCATCACATTCCAGTAGGTAAGAGACTGAAACTGAGATTAGTTGTTGACGATTATAAACAGTTTTGTTTATTGTTCTAATTTAGACGTATTTACAGAAGAAATCAAATTTTTTGACTTAGGTGAAGATGCGTTCAATAAATTTCGAGAAGATGAAGGATTTGTCAAAAAAGAAGAAAAAATTTTACCAAGATCGAAAATTCAACGAAAAATTTGGTTATTATTTGAACATCCAGAATCAAGTCGATGGGCTCGTCTTATTGGAATTATATCAGTAATAGTCATTTTACTGTCAATTGTTACATTTTGTTTAGGTATGTCTCACGGTCTGTCCACGTAACGGTCGCCTTTTTGTTATTCAGTCACGAGTTTTGTTGTTTTGACGTTCAAACAAAAGGAAACTCAAGGACCCTTTACATCTAGTCTTGTACCGAAAAGTGAGCTGAATAGAATGTGATATTTTCTGATTCCGCAGAATATCGTGGCCGTCAAATACAACAAAAGTTTTACGAACCTCAATCAAAAGTCCGCCAAAATGGGACTCATAAAACTTTTGTTGTACTTGACGGCCACGATATTCTGCGGAAGCAAAAAATATCAGATTTTGTTCAGCTCACTTCTCTACAAGACCAGATGTAAATAGTTTCTTATTTTCCCTTGGTTCGAACGCCAAGAGACTCACAAAACAACAAAAATCGTGACAGTATCACGCGTTACGTGGTCAGGTTGATCAAGATCAATTAGAGGATATATCACTCCAAGCTCTATTTGTCTTCAAAATGCATTATTTTATAGAGAAAACATAGGGTTACGCTCCATAAAGAAAACATGGGGACTCTGATAGATTTTTAGTGCGATGCCGTACTTTATTTTAGAAACTGTACCAAAATTTAAACGTAATCGTGTACGTCCTGCTGATAATTCAACGTACAATAATAGCCATTTAATGATTCAAGAGAATGATATTCTAGAATTATCCGGCCCGTTTTTTATTATTGAAACATGTTGTATTGCTTGGTTTTCATTTGAATTGATCATACGGTTTTGTTCTTGTCCGTTAAAATTAGTTTTCATAAAATCAGTAATGAATATAATTGATTTAGTAGCCATCGTACCGTATTTTATTACTCTATTTACAGTATTAACACAAGAAAAAACACAATCAGATCAAGGTGTCTCGCTCGCTATCCTACGAATTATTCGACTTGTTCGTGTATGTCGGATATTTAAACTATCTCGCCATTCAAAGGGTTTACAGATTCTTGGACAAACGTTACGTGCATCTATGAAAGAATTAGGCTTACTCGTATTCTTTCTATTTATCGGTATTATATTATTCTCGTCGGCCATCTATTTCGCTGAACAAGGGGAATCGGGATCATTTTGTAAATCCATACCAGGTGCCTTTTGGTGGACAATAATAACAATGGTGAGCTCACTTTTACGTCATTCTGAAGATAGATTAGGATTATTATTCTTACTATGTATTGTTTCTGGACTCCTAAAATATATTTTGATAGGAATATTTAACTAGTTGGATTTTGGTTTGAAGAGAAAATAGTACTTTTGACTCAGTATCTGGTGCACGCATAGAGTGAGAATCGTCAAAAACATTATGTATTACCTTTAGTTTTAAGCAGTTTTCGACACGTTCCAATGCTGAAATGGACATGCATTGCACAACCAGAAGAGGGACTTTCTGATTAATAGTTGCGTACTTAAATTAATAGCAAGGATGGCTTATACACCCCACTCTCCCACCCCTTCCGTAATAGAAGACCATCCCTCATTAGAAAACTACTGTCAGCAATATAACCTGAAAGCCAAATAGAAGAGCATAGTCTTCTACTGTTGAACTACTAGCAGGCGACAAAATTTGACCGCAGTAGACGACTACTCTTTAGAATTCGACTTGCCTCACAGCTGTCATAAAAATGATTCTCAAATCGTTTGGACCATGCTGAAAACCTGTACTCATTTCAAATCTGAAATTGAATATACAAGCAATTTTTGCTACTTACGTTAGTTTTGTCCCTTATCATGAAAGTATTCCGAGCTTTACTATGCCTTGTTCAATTATCTTCACAGTCTTAAAATTCTAAAACATAAAAAGCCATGTTATATGGGCTATAAAAGATAGTCATAGTAATACGAGTTCATAATAGAATTTTGAGAGAGGTTAATTGTCAATCATTGAAGAAATATTAGAATACTCTGTCTAGTTCATTTAACACATTAACAGCAGTGATAATTTGACCTTTGAGTATATTTCATAACCACTCCGAATATCATGCATTTTGGCAAATATTTATACTCGAGTAGATATAATAAAACTCTCAATCTGGCAACTCAGAAGCCGAAGTTAAGGTGCTAATTGGTTCTATCCAGAATAATATTCACTACTACAAAACTGATATGTTTATTTTTCTATTTTAGACTACGGTGAGTTGACGACGATACGTAAGGCATCTATATTCAATAGGTGTCTTACTAATATTGTTTGTTGAGAAAACATTGATAAACGTGAATAATATTTGTACGACTAACTCAACTATATTCATTATTTTATTTGATAATATAGAAGCTTTCAACTCAGACTAGAGTCATCATCAGCTACAAATATGAAGCTGATAATGACTCTAGACTGAGTTGATTGATCTGTGTTATTAAATAAAATAATGAATGCAGTTGGGTTAGTCGTACAAATAGCTGTCTTGTCTCTTGTCTCTTAATTCATGGTTTCTCTTTTCTCAGGTTGGCTATGGTGACGCGGTACCTGCGGGTATATGGGGCAAAATTGTTGGTTCCACGTGTGCTATTGCCGGTGTGCTGACCATTGCCCTCCCTGTACCTGTCATCGTTTCCAATTTTAGCTATTTCTATAGTCGTGATAATGACTCAGAAGAACAAAAAGATATTAAATATGCAAGTGTAGACAATAATGTAGAAAAAGAAGTTGCAAATAAGGGCGACGACACATGTGGTGTAGTACTTATTAGGATCGATAGTTCAGTTACAAAGTCTGAGTTGTCATCAGCCGAAAGTTCTCTACGTTCAGATGAATCTGATGCATTATTACAAGAAGACTCATCGAATTTTCTCAGCGTTAATGATAAAGGTACCGCTTATTCAGTAGGAATAGGCAGTGCCACAGCAAATAGTTCATTGACACAAAGAAAAATGACATAGCGGAACGTGTTATTAATTTAGAAAAACGAAGAAGAATTATTATACTTTATTGTAGTAGCATTGTAATTATTGTAGAATTATTGTACTATAATATCGTTTAAAACTCAAAACATATCCATTACAAAGCGCACAAAGTTAGTACATTTACATCATACATATATTCTGACATTGAAAACCTAGGAGTGTTACCTATAGTTTTATGCGATAAGATAGATTTGATAGGTGATGCTTAGTTTTTTTAGAACACGGAATTGTTCACTAGTTCTCAATATGATCTCAGTATCATAGCCCGCTCATACCGACAAACTAGCAACCGATCGCGTGTAGGATTTGTGCGATCGGGTGATAATTCTGCGTGCGTGCGTCGTTACTATTATTCATTTCAGAATGAAAATAGAAATTATTATACAGAACGAATCCAGCGTTTTCTCGGGTCCAAAAATGATGCAGATCTGCGAAATTTACATAGCTTCTTCAACGCCGTATACACTCTGAACTAATTCAGACAACGCGAAACTTTCCTACAATAAGCCATCAGATCCATCCAATATAGATCAAAAAAATCCACTCTCATAAATAAAACTTTCTAGCAAACTAAAAAAACTAACGTTGTCTTACTTCCTTATTTCTTATACGTTCATCCAGATAGAGTTGTTTTAACAGCGCTTTTATAAACTGTTACTTTCTACTTTCCAAAATTCACCGCTTCAATGCGTACAGATAGCTAACGATTATGCGTGTAATTTTGAAAAGTAGAAATAGTCTATCGAAGCAGGTTTTCCCTAAACGGATAACCGTTTTTTTTTCTCTCACGCATTGAAACGTTGACTGAGAGCTGGAGTGTCTATTTTCGTTCTGCTAATTTTAACTAATTTAACCTACATGTTCCCGTACAGAATCGAAGGAAAAGAACTCAAGATGACCGAATTTTAGACATGACATATACAGAGGAATCATTATGATTCTTTCTTCATCAAAATGGTAGGACGGTTCATAACAAATATTTGTTTTCTTCAACAAAAAACTAGCATATTTCTCTCACGAAAGAAAAAAAGTAAAGGTAAGTAAAGGAAACTGACAGGTCTTCATACAGCGACGAGAGAAACCACACAAAAAATAAAAACAAGCACTGTAAGGAAGAGATGGGAAGATAAAATTCAAAATGATATACAAACTCTGAATATTTCCAACTGGAGAAGACAAACTCTCGATAGAGATCAATGGCGTGAGTTGATCAACCAGAATATCCAAACTAGGCCTATTCATCCAAACATAAAAGAAATTATTTTTGAGTATAAACAACGTGCGGAACGTAGAGGAAAGGATTTGGCAGCATCTCATGGAGTAGTACAGAGAAAAGTTACAGAAGTATTAATTAGAAACACCAATGGTAAATACATCTGTCCTGGTTGTGGTAAATTCTTTAAGTCTCAGGGAATTACGAGGCACGTAAAACCTTGTGCAAAAGATTGGTGTATAAAAAACAAAATCAAATGAATAAAGTAACGGAACAGCTAATAATGAGTGTTATGCACCTATTGAAATTTGAACTTTGTGAGAATGACGGTTACCATAAAACTGATCTCAGAGGGTGGTATCCTGATGGAAAACTTAGCTTCAATTCCAGAAGTAACCAACAGAACATCCGTCATATAAAGCACTGTCAGTTTTGGTTTTTTGTGTGTTTTTATTGTTTTGTTTTGATTCTCACCCTACACCGGTGACGGTAGTTGGTATAACTAACAAACTAAAATATGGCTTGTATTTCAACGTCAAATGAATTATCCAAATCTCGACTATCATTATAACTGCTAATTATCAAATGTCTTATTTGTTGACATATTACATATAAATCTTGATCGCTATGTAATTGATCTTTAATTACAAATAATAAATGAAACGATATTTCTAATTCGTTTATATTTGGTGTTAATTGGAATATAGGTTTTATAACAGGATACTTGGTATCATAATCATGATGAAAAAATAATAACTGTAATGATACAATTGTATTTAGTTTTATATTCTTATCATTCAACATATTCTTATCGATATTCAAAGGAATCGAGAATCTTAATTTATCAACATTTTGAAACATTTGTTGAATTAGTTTGAATAAATGTAATGATAGTAGTGGTTTATCATAAAAATGAACACATTCAATTGAATCCATTAATTCACTATTAATATTTATCATATTTGTACGATAATGCAAAAAAATCATTGGACATTTTGTCTAAACTCGAAAATAAATATGGCAATGATGATATTCTATGCTACGCATTATTCAAATTCCAAAAATAAATTATAGGATGTTCTAGCCAATATTTTGTTTGAAATGTTTTAATAAATGTATCACGATCAACTGGATCACAAATGTAGTGAAAATGAAATTAGAATGCTTTTACTTTTAACAGTTTTGTTAATAAATTTTTTTCTAAATATTGACCAGCAATAACAATATTGACTTTTAAAATAAAAATAATTGAATTTTAAAAGTCTTAAATATTTTTTTCACTAGAACAATAAAAATGTGATAATAATAATTTAATATAATTAAAATTAATTCCATGTTTTACTGTAAGATAGAATGTTTTTAATTTTTTTAATAATTGTTTACTTTTAATTGTTTCATATTTATATTGATCCCTAGTTGATCGTTTATACCATATGTTAACATTTAAATATTCAATTAATGGTAAATTTTTGCATAATATACACAAATGTTCGAAATATTGTAAATCGACGCTTAACATGAAAAACGCCTAACTCTGCTACCGGAGTGTCTGTGCGTTACCGTTTTTTTTCTTTTCGTCTATCCTATAATATTTGGAAGGAATATCGTAGAATCCTGGAAAGCGCTTGTTTTGTAGCATGAAGTGCGTTCTTCAAAATCCACCACTAGCTCAATTCGAAATAATTGACGACTTTTCGGTTACGATCGAAATACTAAAAGCCCTAAAACGAAACGACAGTGTTTTTGGGGCTCTTCGTGCTTTAAGTATAGCATAAACAGCGTCAGTTATT